AGGGGGCCGCCGGTTGCCATGGAAACCTGGCCAGGGCCGGTGAAGGGCGGAAGGGGAGGGAAATCCCCCCCACCCCCCCACCCGCGCAGGGTCACGGGGTCAGAGCAGGGAAACTGAGGCACGGGACGCCTGGGTTCTCTCCGCGGCTGGGAGGGCGGGGACCCTGTGGGGGGGTTAACCCTTGCACACTCAGGCCGCTCTTGCACCAGCCCTTATTTGCACTCACTGCTCTGGGATCCTTTGCACACCCAGGGGCAGGCACCCCCTTGCACATACACCTCCTCTTGCACTCTCAATGGCATGCACACCCCTCGTCTTGCACACTCAGTTCCCTCTTGCATACGCACTCCCCCTTGTTTGCACAGTCCTCTTGCATGCTTACTCGATTGTATGCACACACCCCTTGCACACATCCCCTTTGCACACTTGGTTCCTTCTTTCACATGCATGTAATTGCATGCACACCTCCCCTTGCATAGTGACCCCCTTGCACACGTGCCTCTACCGTACACTGTTTCTTGCACACTCGGTGCCATGCTTTCTTGCATGTTCAGGTCCCTCTTGAGCACACACATTATAGCATGCACACTTCCCCTTGTACCATCGCCCCTCTTACACACCTCCATCTTGCACACTCTCTTGATGGCAGACACCCAGTTTCCTCTTGCACACACAATCGCATGCAGTTCCCTTTGCATCCCCTCCCCCTCTTGCACACTTGCTCCTCTTGCACCCCACTCTTTTGTTGCATGGACACACCTCATCACACACTGGGTTCCCTCTTGCACACACATACACACTACCTTGCACCCCTTTACACACATACCCTTCTTGCACACCCCTTTCTTGCACACCTGACTGCATGCACACACCCCCTTTACGTGCTTGGCTCCCTCTTGCACATACATTCCCTTACCCATACCCCCTTGGAGATGTGCCCATCTTTCACACTCATTTGCGCACACATCCTCGTGCAACTCCCCCTTGCACAGTCAGTTCCCTCTAGTGCATGCATTGAATTGCATGCCTGCTCCCCCTTGCACACTCACCCCTTTTTGCACTTCCCCCACCTCCCCCTTCTTATATATGTGCCCCCTCTTGCACATGTGCACCAACATATACATGCTTTCCCTCACACCCCCACCTCCTCCTGCACACTTGCCCCTCTTGCTTCCCCTTCTTGTTCATGTGCACACACCCCCTTGCACACGTGCCCCCTCTTGCATACACCCACCAGCGCATACACGCTTCTCCTCACACCCCCACCTCCTCTTGCACATATGCAGGCCCATCCTCATGCACCCCCCTCCCTGTGCGCACTCAGCTCCCTCTCGCACACACACACACCAGTGCAGACATGCTTCCCTTGCACGCTCAGCCCCGCTCTTGCCCTCGGGGCTGTGCCGGGCGCTGACACAGCGTGTTCCTCCAGGCACCACGGAGCGCGTGTGCCTGGTGCAGGGCACGGCTGAGGCGCTGGGCGCGGTGCACAGCTTCATCGCCGAGAAGGTGCGGGAGATCCCGCAGGCCGTGGCCAAGCCCGACCCCGTCGGCATCTTGCAGCCCCAGACCACCATGAACCCTGACCGTGCCAAGCAGGTGGGCCGCCGCGGCGTGGGGGGCGGGGGGCAGGGACCCCCGGGGGGAGCTGCGCCAGCCCGAGGGTACCCGCAAGGGTGAAGGGGACCAGCGCCTGGATGCCTGAGGGGCCTGGGCCTAGAGGGGCAGGGGCAGAGCAGGGGGCTGGGTGCCTGGGTTCCCCCCTGGAGCTTGGCCCTGCCCTATTGGTGGGGGAGGCGGGTGACCTCCAGCTCCGGGGGTTCTGGGGGGCCCTGGCCCCTGGTGCAAGGCTGCAGCTGGGAGGTGCAAGGTGTGCACACGTGTGTGTCGGGGTGCACGTGTGTGCATGTTTTCACGTGTCTGTGCACCAGGCATGCATGCATGTGTGTGCGCGCGGACATGTATCTGCATGCACGAGGTGTGTGTCCACACGTGTCTGTATGCCAGACATGCGTGCGTGTGTACATACATGTCTGTGTGTGCCGGGCATGTGCATGTGTGTGCATGTGCATGTGTCTGCATGCATGAGGCGTGTGTGTGCACATGTGCCTGTGTGCACCAGGCGTGTGTATATGTACATATGTCTGCGTGCATGAGGCATGTGTGTGCGCGCGTCTGTGTGCATGAGCCACGTGGGTGTGCATGTCTGCACGTGTGTGCATGTGCGAGGTGCATATGTGGGTGTGCGTGTGTGTGTGCATGGTTGACTGAGTGCACCCGGCGTTTGTGTGCGCGCGCTGGTTGCTGTGTGTTCGTGTCTCCGCAGGTTGGGGGGTGTGCGTGTGTGTGCACGTGCGTGTGTGCGTGTGCCCGCCCGTGCCAGGCGCTGCGTGTCCGTGCTCGTGTCCGGCGGTGCCAGGCGCTGTCGCTGTCCGCGGTGCTGAAGCCCCGGCCCAGCTCCCCCTC